TTTCTTTAGCATCTGTTAAAATCTTAAATTTTATTCGAGGTTTCTTGCCCTGCCAGACAAATCTTGAGATGTCTGTCTGCCACCTCTTGAAACAATCAATTTTGTCTATAATTTGCAATGTTTGAAACAAAAACAGCATCCTAGGCAATACATTCATTTTTATGACATCAATTCGGCCCAGCATTGATAACTTCAAATTTGACCATATTTCTAAATCCTTTTTCACTTCCGACCAACATTTTTCATAATTATCCTTAAATAGATTCACATTTTTGGCTGTCAAATTCACCCCTAAATATTTCACTTTCTTAACCAGTGTTAATCCTGTCTCTTTCTGGAACCTCTCTTTCTCAATCTCTGTTAGATTTTATAACACCTTGGTTTTCATTTTGTTCAATTTAAAACCTGCTACCTGACCAAATTCTTGAATTAGTTCCAGTACTCTTTTAGTACTGGACTCTGGTTCCTGTAATGTCAATACCAAATCATCGGCAAATGCTTTCAATTTATACTGTTTTGCTCCAACTTGTATGCCTTTAACCAATTGGTCCCTTCTAATTGTATTTAACAGAACCTCCAGGACCGATATAAAAAGCAATGGAGAGATTGGGCAACCTTGTTGTGTTCCTTTCTCTATCTTAAATTCTTCTGTCACTACATTATTCACAATTAACTTAGCCTTTTGTTCTGAGTAAATTGCACCTATACCGTTTTCAAACCCTTGACCGACCCCCATCCCTTGTAAATTTTTCTTCATAAAACTCCAAGAAATATTGTCGAAGGCTTTCTCCGCGTCCACAAATATAAGAACAGCTTTAGTATTAATGTTCACTTGTAGTTTCTCCAAAATATTAATTATGTTCCTTGTGTTGTCAGACAAATGTCTGCCCGGGAGAAAGCCCGCTTGATCTTTATGGATTCCTTCTGCTAACACCTTTTTCAATCTTTTAGCCAAAATGTCTGCAAAAATGTTATAATCCACATTAAGCAAAGATATGGGGCGGTAGTTCTTAAGCTGTGTCTTTTCAGATTCTGTTTTCGGTGTAAGTGTAATGTAGGCTTCCTTCCACGACTCTGGTGCCCTTTTCCCTTCCAATATCTCATTGCAGACTTCCTTTAAAGGTTGTATTATCCATTCTTTCAAGGATCTATAATATCTTGAAGTCAAACCATCCGGTCCTGGTGATTTGCCTAATTGCATGTTCTGAATGGCCACTTCTACTTCCTGATCCGTTATTTTATAATTCAGCATTAGTTTGTTTTCTTGTGAGATTTTTTGTAATCCATTTGTTTTCAGAAAGCGGTCAATGTCTATTTCTTTCTGTGTCTCCTGTGGCTATAACTGCTTAAAGTACCTCTGGAAGCACTTTCTGATCTCCCCTGGATTCTGTATATTCTTTCCTTCCACTTCCAAGTTTGTAATAGTATTAAGTTTTTGTCTTTTTTTCATTTGCCAGGCCAACAGTTTCCCGCATTTATTTGCCGATTCAAAAGTCTTTTGTCTCATCTGTTTAATTTTCCATTCTATTTCCTGATTCATCAATTTCGTATATTGTACTTGGTATAACTTTATCTTTTTTAGAATCTCCTGCGATTTTGGTTTCGCTCTCAATTTCTTTTCTCCTTCCTTTATTTTCTCCAGAATTTTATCTTTTTTCTCATTTTGTAGTCTCTCTTTAATTGCATTCTGTTGTATCAAAAATCCTCTCATGACTGCTTTACTTGCATCCCAAATTACTCTTTTCTCAACCGTTGTGTTCAGATTTGTCGATCTTTTCCCGAGCTATCAAAGCTGGTGACCTCTTGTGTCTGTGTGTAAATAAATGAGACAGGCTTAAGCTTGTTTCGTTAAAGGTTTTATCTTCCTTCTTCCCCAGTAAGGCAGCAGAGTTTTGAGATGAAGGCTGAGGGTTGAAGTGGGTGACAGTTTAGAGAATGCAGAGGAAAGGAGGATTCTTAAGAAGTGTGGCATATGGAAATGAATTAATGATAATAAAAACATTGAAGACAGTATTGTTAAAGACTGAGGAAGGCGAAATTGAAATTAGCTATTCATGTTCAGATTATTACTCCTTTCATTTCTATACTGCTTCATATTTTTAAGAAAAAAATCTAATTAGTAATTAGAGAGAAATCTCATTGCAGTTTGTGTCCATAGGATGTTGAGAACATTAACTCTGTAGATCCAGGAGTTCTCTCCTCCTGATAGTCTCAGATTTGATTGTTCTTTCTGATAGAGCAGGAGGAACAAAACATTTATGGGCTTAAAGCTGCATTGATTCTGGAGGCCACATTCCAGTGAGCTTTGTGGCCAATGTATGCACATGCATGCACACACAGAAAAGAGATGCAGACCATATTTTTTTAAAAAAATATTTTTATTAGAGTTTCGACAGGTTTTTATCATAACAAAACAGAACATCACAATAACATATATATATATATATATATATATATATATATATCATACCAGTTCAAGTCTTGATTTTTTATAACTTACTTTCCCGACTTCCTCACACCTCCCTTTTTTGTATTCCAATTTCTAATATATTTTCAGCAAATCCTTCCCTTACCTCCAGCCTAATTTTAATATTACTTATTTTCTTTAAATTAACCATTACCTCAGCTAGCCGCTTATTTTCTAATCCAGCATCATTTGCACATTCATTCATTTAGCTGAGTTTCTTTACTAATTTCTCATACATCATTTTACATATTCCTTTCAACTATGTCACCAATGCCGCACTATCTTTATATCCTGCATCACTTTAACGTTCAAATATTTTGCAATGCTTTTGCAGATAGTCTTTAAATTTCTTCCAGTCCTCTTCCGTTTGCTCTTCTCCCGTGTCTCGGATTCTGCCAGTCATTTCTGCCAATTCCATATAGTCTATCAATTGCATCTGCCATTCTTCCAGGGTGGGCAAATCTTGTGTCTTCCAATACTTTGCGATAAGTATTCTTGCTGCTGTTGTTGCATAGATAAACAAAGTTCTATCCTTCTTTTGCACCATCTGGCCCACAATGCCAAAGAGGAAGGCCTCTGGTTTCTTAAGAAAGGTATACTTAAATACCTTTTTCAGTTCATTATAGATCATTTCCCAGAAAGCCTTAACCTTTGGGCACGTCCACCAGAGGTGAAAGAACGTTCCCTCAGTTTCTTTACATTTCCAACATTTATTATCAGGCAAATGATATACTTTTGCAAGCTTGACTGGTGTCATGTACCACCTATAAATCATTTTCATTATATTATCTTTTAAGGCATTACATGCCGTAAATTTCATCCCGGTGGTCCACAACTTTTCCCAGTCAGCAAACATAATATTATGCCCAATGTCCTGTGCCCACTTAATCATAGCTGATTTGACCGTTTCGTCCTGAGTGTTCCACTTTAACAGCAAGTTGTACATTCTTGAAAGTACCTTAGTTTTAGGTTCTAACAATTCCGTTTCTAGTTTCGATTTTTCCACCTGGAAACCAATTTTCTTATCCATATTAAAAACCTCTCTAATTTGATAATAATGTAACCAATCTCGCACTTTATCTTTTAGTTTCTCAAAACTCTGCAATCTCCAAGTGTCTCCGTTTTGTCCTAGTATCTCCCAATATTTCGGCCATTTGGCCTCCATATTGAGTCTTTTCAGAGCCTTAGCTTCCATAGGTGACAACCACCTTGGGGTCTTATTTTCCAGTAAATCTTTGTATCTTGTCCAGACGTTGTGGCACTCATCTCGCTTTACTGGCCGAGGGTGCCGGCGTACACCTTCCGGGTCATGTGGCCAGCATGACTAAGCCGCTTCTTGCGAAGCAGAGCAGCGCACGGAAACGCCGTTTACCTTCACGCCTATTTATCTACTTGCACTTTGACGTGCTTTCGAACTGCTAGGTTGGCAGGAGCAGGGACCGAGCAATGGGAGCTCACCCCGTCGCGGGGATATGAACTGCCAGCCTTCTGATTGGCAAGTCCTAGGCTCTGTGGTTTAACTCACAGCGCCACTCGCATCCCAGTACAGGCTTAGGAATCAATTATTATTATTATTATTATTATTATTATTATTATTATTATTTGCATCCTCCCTATCTGACTGGGTTGCCTCAGCCCATCTGGGTAGCTTCCAACAAAACAAAAACCATCAAAAATTTCCTTGTAAAAGGCTGCCTTCGGAAGTCTTCCATTTCGTAGAAATGGCCTTCGGTTTCGTAGAATTGCCCTCTTTAAGGAACCACGTGGTGTAAACATGTATGTTGTCCTATACGTCCAAACACACACAGACCCACACATAGTAGGAACAAGCAGTGCTTTAAAGTGCTTATCTTGCAAACTTGCCATCTAGGTTGTTTACTCCTGACCAAAGCTCCTGTTTCCCAAAAGGACAGGAGGAGGAAACGGAGGGGTTTGAAGGCTCTTTCCATCAGCCACCTCTCTCCCCTGAGGAACGAGCAAAGGGTGTTTGCAGGGCAGGAGGACAGAGGAGGCGGCAGCGAGGGCAGAGGGAGCAGTGGGCGGATCCACCGCCTCTCCTAGGGGGTCCTGATGCAAGCAAGGGGCTTCCTTCTTCTCCATGCAAGGGCCACCCATCTATTCAGAGCAGTCCTTTGCAGATTAACTCTTAAGTTCCAAGGGATCTACTCTCAGGCCACTAATGTGCATACCATGCCAGCCTTAGGAAGGGAGGTGGGACAGGCAGGTGAAAGGAATTTGCAAGGGTGTTTGAAAATGGGTGGAGGCTCTTGGGAAGGGGGTGCCCAATTGGGGCTTCTCCAGGGGCAGCAAAATGTCTTGGGCAGGAGAACTCCTGAAGGGGCTCTGAGACTCCCTTGGCTTCTTCTTCTCTCCCTCCCAGGAAGCTGCAACTTGCTCTGGATTCTGCGCTCCTCAGGAATCTGAACCTGCAAACCTAGCTGAGACTGAACCTGCAAGCCTGGCCAGGATGGAAGGAGGAAGATGGACGGTTGACCTGGTCAGGCTGTTTCCCGCATCCCTCCCCACAAACTCTGAGCATTCCCTCCCAGGACCCTTGGAGAAATTTGGTGAGTTCCAGGGGAGAGGAGATGGGGACAGGGACAGATGGATGGTGGAGGGAGAAAGAGGAAAAGATGTTGAGGAGACAAATGGAAGGAAGTTCCTGACAGGAAGAAGGAAGGGGTGAGGCTTTCTCCAAAGCAGCTCTTTGTTTCTTGAATCCTTTTCCTAAAGTAGTTGGCGCAGATTTTCTTCCTCCAGGCTTTGAAATCTTAGGTGTTATTTCCACGGCAAGAATAATTGATGATAATGATGTTGCACACCAATCCTGAAAAATCGGTGAAGGGGGATGGAAATGCTTCCCGTAATTATTTATAATTAAGGTATTTAAATTGTTTCTGTTACTTTTATTTGTTGTAGACAGGGTCAAAGTGATACATTCCACCAGCATCAAAATACAATAAATGTAAGCACCTCCCCAGTTTGGTGGGCTTAGGGGACAAAGGACCCGTTATCATGATACACAATTCCTGTGGCTGGAGGCTCAACACTTGGGATTGGACATATGAAGACCAACAGTGGTCAGTATTATTTACTCGGTTACTAATGATCGCCATAGAAGAAGAAGAAGCAAATTCTGTAAACTTGCCAATCTTACAGACTGGGATTAATAATTTATACCACCCTGTAGTTTTGTCCATCCCTAAGTTTACATGGAGATACCTTGGTACAAATAAGTACACAAAGCCAACAAAGAGACTCAGAAGTTTATAGTGGCACCATGTATCCTGCTCAAAATTCCACTTTGTGAGACTGCAGCCCACAAAAGCTTAGGCCATATATATCTATCAGCCTTTAAGGGCTGCAAAGATGAATCAACAGAAGCATAGTTCGTCTATGGACTTCCATCCTACAGGAGACAGTGACGGACAGCAACTTGGATAGCTTGAAAAAAAGGATAGGACTGACGTCTCTGCTCTGCCCTCATGGTCCTAGGCAATAATGCTTCTTAATACTAGTTTCTGGAAAGCACAGTAAGGAGGAGGACTCTTGTGCTCCAATCCTGCTTGCCAGTTTCCCACAGGCATCTGGTTGGCCTCTGTGAGAAGAGGATGCTCGACTAGGTGGGCCTTTGCCTGATCCAGCAGGCTCTTCTTAGGTTCCAATATATTGCAATATTTTTACAGTTACATGTAGCACTTAAGTTTTACTTATTTCACAATGGAGACACTGTTACTTGAGCCTGAGATCATTTCTTCACTTCAGAAAGAATAGATGTGTCTAATCCAGTTCCACCACAGATCTGTATTATAAAATGATGGTGCTTTATTAAGTGGGAATGGAGTGATTATGTGTTGCTCCTGCCATTATCTCATCTGCTTTTCAAAAAATATGGAACCTAGAGAGGACAGTGGAGAATGAAGATGTTACAATGAGAGAAGGTGCAGATTGGGATTGACAGGTGTTCAGTTCCCTTTTTGTCTTTCTTGAAAGTCTAACAGGATTCTCTTTCCTCCCAGACTCCCGAACAGGTGAGGAAGATGAAGGTCAGAATTCTGTGGAGCCACATGTGAATTTAAGGGGGGAAACAAAGAAATTGAGGATACAACAAAAAACTCACAAAGGAGAGAAACTATATGAATGTATGGAATGTGGAAAGAGCTTCAATGAAAGTGGAAAACTTAGAATACATCAAGGAACTCATACGGGAGAGAAACGATTTGAATGTATAGAATGTGGAAAGAGCTTCAGTCGAAGTGGGAAACTTAGAATACACCAACGAACTCACACAGGGGAGAAACCATTTAGATGTGTTGAATGTAGAAAGAGCTTCAGTAAAGATGAAGCACTTAGAATACACCAACGAAGACACATGGGGGAGAAACCATTTGAATGTAGGGAGTGTGATAAGAGCTTCAGTCGAAGTCGGGCACTTAGATTACATCAACAAACTCACACCGGGGAGAAACCATTTGAATGTGTGGATTGTGGAAAGAGATTCACTCAAAGCGGATATCTTAGAATACATCAACAAACTCATACAGGGGAGAAACCATTTGAATGTATTGAATGTGGAAAAAGCTTCAGTGGAAGTCGATATCTTAAAATACATCAACAAACTCACACGGGGGAGAAACAATTTAAATGTATTGAGTGCAGTAAGAGCTTCAGTCAAAGTGGATCTCTTAGAATACATCAACGAACTCATACGGGAGAGAAACCATTTAAATGTACTGAATGTGGAAAGAGCTTCAGTGAAAGTGGACATCTTAGAAGACACCAACGAACTCACACAGGGGAGAAACCATTTAAATGTGTGGATTGTGGAAAGAGCTTCAGTCGAAGTGGATATCTTAGAATACATCAACGAATACACACGGATAAACCATTTAAATGTATTGAATGTGGAAAGAGCTTCAGTGAAAGTGGGAAACTTAGAATACATCAACAAACTCACACAGGGGAGAAACCATTTGAATGTATTGAATGTGGAAAAAGCTTCAGTAGGAATGGAACACTTAGAATACATAAACGAACTCACACGGGGGAGAAACCCTTTAAATGTATTGAATGTGGAAAGAGCTTCAGTGAAAGTGGATATCTTAGAATACACCAACGAACTCACACGGGGGAGAAACCATTTGAATGTGTGGATTGTGGAAAGAGCTTCAGTCGAAGTGGATATCTTAGAATACATCAACGAACTCACACAGGGGAGAAACCATTTAAATGTATTGAATGTGGAAAAAGCTTCATTGAAGGTGGGAAACTTAGAATACATCAACGAACTCACACAGGGGAGAAGCCATTCAAATGTATGGAGTGTGGAATGATCTTCAGTAAAAATGGATGCCTTAGAAGACATCGGCTAACTCATACACAATGAAAACTACAGGTGTATTGACTGTGGGAAGGGTTTCAGAAGGAGTGGAGACCTTAATATTCATTAGTAAATTCACATGGGGGAAATGATATAAATGTACAGAGTTTTCCACTCAGGGTTCACTACTTACATCAAGAAACTCATAAAGGGGGAAATCAGTTGTAAATGCATGGAATGATGTTTTAGTGTTTGTACTTAAATTTGTATACACATATATATGTATTAAAGTAATGAAGGTCACATATACTAAATGTACAAAGTAAGTGGCAACTTTTTGCTAAATAAACCGGGAGAGAGTGTGAATCTGCAATGCTCAAGGTGTGTGTTGAATCTGTTGAGTTTTCAGGTCCGCCTTTCACTGCCCAAATGATGGGCTGCCCTTGTCTTGTAGATCAGCATTCCAGGCGCTCTTTACTTGAACTTTGCATAATCTATTGAAGAGCTTTTTACTGATAGCATTTTCCAGCTGAATGAAAAGGTCTCTGTGTTAAATGTTCATTTGGGATTGCTTTTAAAACTCATCTCCTTTTTTCTGTGCTCTTGTGTACCTGCTTGGACCTGTTTTTATTAAATATTTTGTGCATTGGCTTTTGACCTGTGGAAGGTGACCAGTGAGGGTGTGGTTTTTTGTGTTTCTTAATTCACAGAAATGTTTTAAAGGAATGTGTGAAAGAATTAGGGCTAGGGGAGATTAGTGAAAGGAACTGAGGAGTGAAGTGAAGATGGCTGTCAAGTCTCTGGACAGAGGTCAGCAACCTAAGGCCCATGGGCTGGTTCCGGCCCAAATGGGTTCTGGATCCGGGCCGCGGATGGTCCAGAAGTTGCCTCATGGTTCTGATTCATATAGTTCAGGCTGCACCACTTTTTTCTCTTTCTTCCTGATGGCGGCACCCCTCCCTCCCTTCTCCTGGCTTCTGGCTTCTCCCCGCCCTGCGGAGGAAGGGGGCTAGACTTTGATTGGTGCCAGCAGCATTGTTTCCCTCTGATTGGTTGCAGAGTTCTTTCCTCCTCCCTCCCTCCTCCTAGAGCCGAGAGGAAAGGGCCTGGGCTTTGTTTGTGCCAGCGTGGTTGCTTGACGGCCGCCATTTAAGGCAGCCCCTCTCCAGCCCTCAACTGGCTCACTGCTCCTGCCGCCGCAGTGAGTGGTTCCGTTCTGAGACACTCTCCCTGGGTTCTGGGGTGTATGAAGCCTTGTTTCCCTGTTTTTAACTCCGCTACCGAAACCGTCTTCCCCCTCCAGGACGGGAGAGCGGAGAACACGCGTCTTGCAGAAGGAACCGCTCGCTGCATTCGGTAGCGGAGTTAAAAGCAGGGAATCAAGGCTTCGCACACCCCAGAACCCTGGGAGGGTGTCTCAGAACGGAACAGATATGCTACGGCGCAGAAACGAGACCTTCGGAACTTTATTATTGGTTTTTGGTGCAATCTTTGGATCGTGTAGTAACGAGAGAATGTGCACGCATGCTCTGTCCTGCAGCAAGGTTTGAGGACAGTGATCCGGCCCTCGACTTTAAAAGGTTGCTGACCCCTGTCCCTGTATGTGCAGAAAAGAATTTGGAAGTGTTTGTTTTCATTCTTGGGGGTCATGATGTTTGGCAACCCTCTCTTTTTCAAGAGCTAATTTCAGGGCTATGAGAGGCTAAGGAAAAGCCTTTTGTTTGTTTTTAATTAAAAAAAAATTAAAATGTGACAAATGTTTGTGGGGGCTCCATCCGTTGCTGCTGTTGCTGAGGGGTTATCTGGATCTCACCCCCAAATGTCTGCCATGATGGTAGCAGGATGGGAGAAGTGCCCAGAATCAAAAAGGAAAGTATTTCCTGCATCTTTCTTGAAGGAAATGGGTATTTCTGAAACCTCAGACAGAGTTCATGTTGACAGCATTGAAGCTGTTGCTCATTAACCAATTATTTATCACTGCTGATGAAAAGAGTCTACCCTTCAAAGAAACATGCGGTATTTCATACAATATAATGATGTCCTAAACAAACAATCAGACCCAGAAACTCCAGCAGGTGCAGAATGCCGCGGCGAGGCTCCTTACAGGGTCCTTGCAATAGATCACATTCATCAATGCAATATGATACGATAATCTTTATTGTCATTGTCCCATACAGAACAACCAAATTGAAAAAATCTACATCAGACATTCAAAAACCAACAAACCTGCTATCCCAGTCTGGTTAACCCCTTGGAAACACTGATTCCCATAATTAAATACAGTATACTCACATAGAGACTACCTTACACTGCATTTAAAACCAAAATCGCATTTGGATAGAAACTGTTTTTCAGTTTTATCCAGTGCTTTACCAACAGCACTGGCTCCTGGTGGAGTACAGGGTCAGGTTTAAGGTGCTGGTTTTGACCTGTAAAGCCCTATGCGGCCTAGGACCCACGTACCTAGGGGACTGCCTCTCCTGGTATGCCCCACAGAGGACCTTAAGGTCGACAAATGACAACACTTTGGAGGTCCCAAGTCGCAAGGTGGTTAGATTGGTCTCAACTACAGCCAGGGCCTTTTCCGTATTGCCTCTGACTTGGTGCAACGCTCTGTCAAAAGAGACTAGGGCCCTGAAGAAGCATCTCCACCCCCATCGTTCAACCCAGACACTGAGGTGCAGCGCTGAGGGCCTTCTGGTGGTTCCCTCACTGCGAGAAGCCAAGTTTACAGGGAAACTTCTCGGTAGTGGCGCCTTCCCTGTGGAACGCCCTCCCACCAGCTGTCAAAGAGAGCAACAACTACCAGACTTTTAGAAGACATCTGAAGGCAGCCCTGTTTAGTGAAGCTTTTAATGTTTGATGTATTAGGGTATTTTAATATTTTGTTGGAAGCCGCCCAGAGTGGCTGGGGTACCCCAGCCAGATGGGCGGGGTATAAATAATATTTTATTATTATTATTGGCATCTTTCCGCAGGGCCTGCAAGACAAGAGCTGTTCCGCCTGGCCTTTGGTTTGGACTCAGTCTGACCCTTACGTTTCCCTCCCCTTATGGTTTTGATCTATGGGCTACTTATAAAATGAGGCTGCATTTTAAATTGTATTTTAACTTGTATTTTGAATTGGGTTTTTTTCAATATTATGTTTTTATTGTAATTTTACTGGTGTTAGCCGCCCGGGGACGGCGGAATATAAATAAAATGTATTATTATTATATATTTGCCTTCTGGAAGGTGGGGCAATATGCGGAGGGAATCTGTATTATATCTGGAGGAGAGAAGGCGGAAGGGGGGGAGGAGCTCAGTGCACCCAGAAGATGCCAGTTGTTGGTTGTAGTTGTGTCTATACAAAGTGCATAGCCTTTGCCCCTCCATAAAGAAATGGGGAGGAGACAAGAGCTGGAATAGCTGACCAGAAGGAAATGTAACCTGGGAACTTCATGTTGCTCCCCCAGCTCCCTGACCCCAAGAAAAGACTCCTCCAGGGAGGCAGGTGAGCATCACAGCTAAACCCCACATTATGCTCTCCAGTAGCTAATCGCTCAGACAGGGCTATTTTCATTCAGTTCTTTGTGTTTGGGGGTGGGGGTGGGGGTGGTTTTACCTTCCCTTCTTCCCTTGCAATCATGACAAAAATGAAACCTCAACGGCAATGCTTTCAGCACCAGAAGAGGAGCTCCCCTTGGTGTCAAGGGAGGGGGGGTCCAAGGGAGCATCTAGAGCCTACCATCCTTCTGTCCCTGGCCCCTTCCCCTCCTCTCTCTGCCATCCCAGGGCCACTCTTGACTCCCCAGCAGGAGACTGGATCCGTCTGTGATGGTGAGATGTCCGGTTGAAGGACCACTTCCTGTTTCCTGGAGCTCCATCCTTCTTTCTCATGCAAGGTGGAGTCATGAAGCAGGTGAAGGCTGAGCACACCTAAGGGTGACACAGAGAGGGGGGTGGATTCTGCTGTATCTTTCCCCGTCTGGATCGAAATCCACACACAATAGGGCAGTGTGAGGGCACAATCAATGATGTTATGGAGATGTGTTGAAAGGCATTGCTTTATGACCCTAAGAGCCCCTTCTCAAAAAACAAGCATTCAGAGAATTTAAACTACACAGAGAGAGAGAGAGAAGGAGAGAGAGAAAAAACAAACACACACAAACACACATTTAGAACAGATAATTACCCCCCCCCAAAGAGGCAGTCTGGTGCCCCATTGTGTAGGGGTCACTGTAACACACTCTACATGGGGCTGCCTTTGAAAAGTGCTCAGAAAGTTCAAATGGCTCAAAGAGCTGCAGACACATTGCTGACCAGGGCTGACCATAGGCAGCATTGCTGTTGTTTAGTTGTTTAGTCGTGTCCGACTCTTCATGACCCCATGGACCAGAGCACGCCAGGCACTCCTGTCTTCCACTGTCTCCCGCAGTTTGGTCAAACTCATGCTGGTAGCTTCGAGAATACTGTCCATCCATCTTGTCCTCTGTCGTCCCAGAGTGCTAAGGTAACCTGATAAGATGTGTGGGTTATAAATCGTAAAATAATCATTATAGAATGGGGTGTCCCTATCAGAGAAATGATAGAGGGTATGGAAAGATAACAGAGCCTGATCCTGGCATCTGTTGCTGGAGCTAAGTGATTGCATGACCCCAGCCAGCAGAGCTGGGAACTGGACTGCCTCCTCCAGCCAGGCATTTGGGCTGCAGGGTGGCATCATCCCAGCTTCATCAAATGGTATTTCAGGAATATTTCCTGAGGAGGATTTAGGTAACCAGTGACTGAACACCTGATCACAAGGAGACTTAATAGTGCAACACCCTGGATAGCTTATAAGATGCCAGATATATTCCAATGATGTAATAAAATTTGATGTGAGATATAGATTTCTAAAAAAAACAACAACCCACTTATTAGAGAAGAAAACGAAGGGGTATAGAAGGGGAAAATTGTGTGTGTGTGTTTAATCATTGGAATACTGTGCACACGATTTTAAGGTAACATTACACTTTATTTCCACTTTCTCTCACGTGGGGCTTGAACTCA